CTTCGCGGCGGTACCAGCTCGCCTCTTTGGGTTAGTTTCAAGATCGGTACCTCACAGACGTAAAAAGTGTTTATTGCTTTTCTTCTACGTGTTGGTGACTTCCGTATGTTGATTTCCATATTCTAATAGTACAAAATGTCAAAAACACTATATCCCAAATTACAATTTTTATATATTGATCATTTTAACATTAATTATGCTTATTACATTATTATTTTATTATATATTTAATATTTATAAATAATTGATTTAATCCCAAATATTCGTTTTATTTATAAATAATTGTTTATTTATAAATAATTGTTCATTCATAAATAATTGTTCATTCATAAATGATTGTTTATTTATAAATAATTGTTTATTTAAAAATAATTGTTTATTTACAAATATTTGTTTATTTAAAAACAATTATTTATTTACAAATGTATTTAAAAAAAAAAAATTAATTTTACATAAAAATGTTACGGTGACGTGACATATTTACTAATAATATGGCTTGGAGAAAAGAGGTGGCCTTTTTGGAGGGCGATATAGATTTTCTTAATGCAAACCTTATATCGACTACTAAAAATGTTGCCTTGGAATTGAATATCGTTAAAAAGAATTGTAAAAATAATATTTTTAAACCTAGATCATGGATGGATGAGGAATGTAAAGTTGCGAAAAGGCGGACATTGGATACGTTGAGGCTTTGCAGGGCAGAAAATTTTTCTGATGAAACTAGAAATTCGTATTATTCTTTCAAAAAAGATTTTCGCAGGATTGTTGATTTAAAGAAAGAAGAATATTTTTCAGTCATACTAAATGCTGTCAATAATTGCAGAAATTCATCTGCCTTCTGGAAGGTTATCAAAGCGTCTAAGCGCAAAGCATGTCAGCCTTCAGAAATTGGGCTTGATGTATGGTTTAATTTTTTGCAAGGTTGTTATCCTCCACCTATTTTATTTCCTACGACAATTTCTGACTTTCCGAAGCAATGTGTTTCGATTCTTGATGACGATATTTCAATGAATGAATTGATTAAAGGTTTAGCGAAATGTAAGAGTGGAAAGTCCCCCGGGTTAGATGATATTAATAATGACTTTTTTAAAAATTTACCTCAAAACTGGCTTTTATATATTATTCAGTTTTTAATTAACTTTTAATGTTAGAAAAAGTGCCAAAAGACTGGGGTAATCTTACTACATTTATGTTGCATAAAAAAGGTAATTTTAGTGATCCGGAAAATTTCAGAACTATTACTCTAGTCAGTTCTTTAGCCAAAATTTTTACGCAATTTATTTGTGATCGTCTTGTATCGTGGGCAGAATCCTTACAGTTGATCCCGGAGTCTCAGGCTGGCTTCAGAAAGAATAGAAGTTGTTTAGATAATTTATTTAATTTATTGTCTGTTATTCAGATCCACCTGAGTACCCCGAGATCGGTTGTTTATGCGATTTTTGTTGATTTTAAGGGGGCTTTTCCCTCGGTTTGTCACCAGTTACTTTCGAATAAGTTATACTCATTGGGAGTTACCTCGGAAATTATAAATATTTTGATTGATTTTTATTCGTCCGCATTTAATTGTATCACCGTCCGACAAAATTCAACTTCTTTTTCACACACGAAAAAATCAATGATTTTCAGAAAGAAGATCACAAATCTGAAAAATAATTTGGAAAACTTAAATGTTCAATCAATTTTTTGTTAAAATTTGCAAGCCAACATTTTAAAATTTTTATTTTAAGTGATTTTTAATCTGAAAATTTGTATATTTATTAACTAAGTTTTGTAGGGGGTCATCTGGGGTCTCAGCGACCCCAAAAACCCAGAGATACGAAGTTTTATAAAAAAATTAATAACATTTATAAATTTCGACCACCATATTGGATCCGCCATTTTGTATTTTCAAAATCTGACATCATATTCGTTATCAGCGACCCCAAAAACCTTCAAGTAACAAGTTTCAAGTGCATTCGATGAACTTTAATAAATTTCGACCGCCATATTGAATCCGCCATTTTAAATTTTGAAAATCTGACATCATATTCGTAATCAGCGACCCCAAAAACCCCTAAGTAACAACTTTCAAATGAATTGGTGAATTTTTATAAATTTCGACCGCCATATTGGATCCGCCATTTTGAATTTTGAAAATCTGACATCAAATTCGTAATCAGCGACCCAGGAAACCCCGAGATACCAGGTTTCATAAAAAATTATTAATTTGTACAAGATTTCCTATCACCTTTCATTTAAGGGTTGTTTTTACCCCTAAAAGCAAAAAATGACCTGATCTAGCAAAACGGCCAGACACGGGTATCTTTTTTTTGGTCCTAGTTTCTGAAAATCATTGATTTTTTCGTGTGTGAAAAATCGTGTCGGACGGTGTATTAGAACTAACAAAGGCTTTACAGATAAAGTAAGGGTCACACAAGGAGTTTTACGGGGTGAAGTGTTAAGTCCTTTACTCTTTATATTATTGATCTCGGATATTGAAAATTATTTTATTGAGCATGGATGTAGAGGTATTTCTATTAATAATAAATCATAAATTATTATGCTAGATTACGCTGATGATTTTGTGATACTCGCTGATACGCTGACTGAATTGAATAGGAAACTTTGTGCTCTGTGTTCATATCGTGAAAAGAATAAGCTTATTGTTAATATTGATAAAACTAAAATAGTAACATTTACTAGATCAGGCAATTCCAAGGCAAAAAGACTTAAATCCGTTGAATTCGGCAATGAGCGTATTGAAGTTGTAAAACAATACACTTACTTAGGGATACCATTTCACAACTCGTGCTCTTTTGCACCTGCGGCAAATAAGGCAATTAGTGCGGCGAACACAGCAGTGGGTTCAGTGCTGAATTTAATACATACTGTCAGAATGGATTCATGGGAGTCTTGTTCCAAATTATTTGATAGTCTGTCTATGAGTGTTTTGTTATACGGTTGTCAGATTTGGGGTCTGGGTTTTTTGGAGTGCATGGAGGGGGTTTGGCTGTCCTTTTTTAAGAGACTGCTGAATCTTCCTTTGTGTACTCCGGATTACGCGGTCAGATGAGAAACTGGCTCTTTGCACATTTCTTATGTAGTTTTTAAGTTGTCACTGGCTTGGTTAAATAAAACTTTTAGTATGGACGTTTCTCGGTACCCAAGACAGTGCATGGTTAGATTGATAAAGTTGGCAAAGTCAGAGCCTGAAAATAATTTTAACTGGTTTACTCAATTGAAATTGTATTTTTTTGAGCCATGTGGATTGCTTGATATATGCATGGACATGCACTTTACCTCAAAAAGCGGGATATGGATCGTTGTCAAAAATCTACAAGTCTTGTATTGTATCCTCGGCTCACGTTACAACCAGGAACGCAACGATATTTGCTTATGAAAATGCCTATCTTTTTTAAAAAGTTTTTTGCTCAAATTAGACTGCTTAATATTTATGTTTCACGAGTTATCTTTGATCGCAAAAAATACTCTTTTCAAATCGATAAAGTATGCACCTCTTGCAATTTAGACAACGCTGACTTGTATCATGTTGCGTATAGCGTATTAGTGGACAGTAAAACTCTTTGTTGAAAATTGAACAGTCTTTAGTTTATTTTAATTTTATAATTACATACTTATGAATTTTCCTGGCTCATTCACCAGAGGTACAGAGATAACTGCCTTTCTCATTCTTCCCACTTTCTTTCGTCTTGTCGACGTCATTCATACGTCACCATCAAATTTCCCTATCCTTCATCTACTCACTCTTATCAATCTCACAATTCAGAACAATCATATATTATTAAATTGTCCAGCAAATACTCATTTATTTGATGCTATAACCAGCCTTATCAAGATTTTTCCTCAATGGAAACCTGGTTGTCAATTCTTTCTTCTTGTGATTGTTCAACTCTTAAGAGAATTGTTAATGCTTTACGTATCATTTTCATGCACATTTAGACAGATCTTAATAGTTATTTTATATTTATAGTGGAATTTAGGCCTTATTTTAGTACAACCATCTTGGTTTTTTATCTCTGTCTTTTGTATATGTTAGAGAAACACAGAATGAAAACATGGCCACCACAACAAGGCTCTCACCAGATGGCGTATCGCAGTATTTCAGATCCCAATAAAGGAAACTGCAGAAAACCCTTCCAAAGTACCTCTTAAATCTTATCATTTCCTTATCATTATTTTTATCTCTCTCTCTCTCTCTCTCTCTCTCTCTCTCTCTCTCTCTCTTTCTCATGTCTCTCAATATATATACATATATACACAGATACATACATATACACATACTCATTTTATCGAATTTCATACTAACTCACATATATACATATACACAAACATATCCATAAACATATTCTTATACATATACTATATACATATGTGACGCTCCACGAGAAAAGGGGCCTATCGCGACAAAACAGAATTATACAGGAAAGGCGTTTAATGTTGAACGTTCTGATTGGCTGAGACGCACCAGCGAAAATCAGCCCCACTACCTTACTACTACATCGTTTCTACGTCTCACGGATACACCAAGTATAGTAGTAGCAGTGGTGGTGGGGATAGTTTCCGTAGTCCGTGCTGGAACGCGATTGACATGGTCATGTTTAAAGCTTTATTACAAAAAAAGTAATTAGAAAAATATTATTTTTGACATTTCTATATGAAAGAGCAACTCAAATACTATCGATTCGCATATAAAACTGGAAATTAATTTTTTGTCACGATAGGTCCCTTTTCTCGTGGAGCGTCACATATATACTTTTATTCTTATCCAGTCAATTCGCTTTTCCTTCCCTTCTCTCTCTCTCTCTCTCTCTCTCTCTCTCTCTCTCTCTCTCTCTATTTTTCTCTCAATTGGGAACTAATAACTATGACTTAGTGCTTAAATAAATAAAATGAAATATTATTATAATTATTTATTAAGATAAAATACGTCAAATTACCCAACCCTGATGGTTGGTAACAGCACAGCGTTACACTCACAATAGGTGTGCAAGCGTCTTTATTCTCGTGATCAAGGTGTGAATGCTCCCTTATGGGACGCCAGCCTGTAAAGTGAGCATACCGGATAATTCCCAGATAATTTATGATTTGATTCTTTGAAAACAGTGAACTCTATAAGTGAATATTCAGTGAATATTGATAATACTCGAAACCATTTTTCAAAAATAACTCCATTTATCCATAATGGATAATAAAAGAAGACGAAATTTATACCTCGATCATGAGGAGGAAAATATCCCTCGTACAACGAGGTATAGGTTACAGTTGGCACAAAACGCCATCGGAGTTAATGATGAACAACCTGTAAGTATATATATATATATATATAATATTAACGTATTAAGGTTATGATTATGTTTAAATTATTGTACTGTCATATGAAATAAAATTATGTGTTCTTGTATGTGATGAAAATTTCCTTATATTATTTATTATTGACAACCGCAGGAAAAAGGATCACTTTTTCGGTTTTAGTTTCCAAGGTAATCACACGAGTAAAATTATTCTTTCATTATATGTATGTTTCACACGACGTTTTTTCCAGTGCGTTAAGGGGAGGTTACACTGGTTTTGATGTTTTTTCCAGAGATTTTTTTTATAGTAAAAAAAGTATTTATTGCTTAAAATTTTTTTATACGTAAATACATGTTTAAAAGTAATTGAAAATAATATAATTTGTTTTTTGTTTCAAAAATGCGTCTTAGAAAATGGCTGCCAAATGTCGTCCTCGCTAAAAGTTTGTTACACTTTTTCTCTGCAACGTTTAATCTAAAATGAAAAAAGTAAAAAGTTTCTTAATCTGTACCATTTTGGCTACTGTGTTGACTAGAATCAGAAATATTTATTGAAAAATAACCGAATGACGGAATTGAATTTTTTACCATAATTTTGCAACTTATATTGTTTATAACTTTTTAAAATATTAATGAATCTTCGAAATCCTAGTCTACACGAAAACTACACATTCAAGGAACATACTTTCCAACATTCAAGTTAATTGGTTAGAGTGTTAAAATGGGAGTGTGACAAAGTTGAAAATTTGTATTTTTAAGAAAAACGCTTTTAAAGTTTTTTTACGTTAATAGCCCATCAACGCCCAAGTCGAGAAAATTCTTTGGTCATTTTTAAACTACGTAACTATAAACAGAACGGTTGATATTTCGTACCAAAGGTACATTTCCTATAGATTTTGGATGTGTTCTTTTTGATTCCGGTGTCAAAAATTATTTGCACTTTTATCCCACTGAGCTTCGCTTCGAAAGAAGGGGGTAGCGTTTTCTCAGCCAAGTGCTCATGAGGGTTAGTTTTGTCCATTAGACTATTTTTACCGTATTCTTAGGTAAGTATAGGGGAGATCGGGGCAAACGTAATAGCCGAGGCAAAGATAATAATCGAAATAATTACCAAAACTTTGGTCTACAGAAAAACCTTCAATTTAATTAGACAAACAATATTGTTCGAAAATATCTTTTAATTTTGAAATTAAAAAATTTTAATAATAAACTGTTTTGGTCAGTGAAAGATGCTAAATTTCAGAATCATAATATGACGTTTTCAACAAATTTAAAAGAAATTACGTTCTAAATTTTTGATATTCTATTAATTTAATTTCCACCAATGATATGTTCATAGGTTTTAAGTTTTATTTAGGTATTAAAACCATTAAAATTATGATATTAGAAAATCTTGACATCTGGGGCAAAGGTAATGATCAAGTAAAAAATATAAAAACTGCAAAATTACTATCCATAACAACTTTTTGGTAATGTAGAATTCACAGAAAATTAAAAGGTATTAAAATAAGCTGCAACCCTTATTATTTTAATCAAATTTTGCTTATTTCAATCCATTTTGGTATTAAAATAAGCAAAATTGGATTAAAATAAGAAGCGTTGCAGCTTATTTTAATACCTTTTAATTTTCTGTTTTCTTATATTTATCTAATTCTTGAAAACTGTCAACCGCTGTCAACTTTAAATACTTAAGTTTTGAATAAACGAACTTTTGTGCAAGTATTTTATAAGGTTATTTAATATTGCATTAAACAATTATAAATATATCACTAAACACATTTTAATTATACTTTTTTACTACATTAGAAGATTAGGAATGATATTGTTAAAAAATTATCTCTGAAATATTTGTAATTTAAAAAAATAATACCCATATTACCTTTGCCCCAGCAGTTGGGGCAAAGATAATAATTGGTACTCTTTTTCAAATAACACAATTATTAAATGAAGCTTTTAGTAAAATATATAATGGATATGAAAAAATGTTAACTACTTATTGACGATTTAAACTAGCCAAAATCTATTCAAATATCATGTCTAATTACTTTTTTATGAAGCTTTATATGTTAGCATATCACGTTTGCCCCGGTTTATCCTACTAACCAAAAATAAAAAAATAAATTTTTCGATTTTTTGAAAAAAACCAGTGTAACCTCCTCTTATGGGGAAGTGTATTTTTGCATGTTTTTTATAAAACATTTGTAATTGTAATTTGTTATAGATAATTAAAATTTTTAATCGTACAATTTGTTTAGTTTATGTCGCTAGTAGTACTTTTTTTAATATCACTTTATTCAGATCAACGAAAACTGACAAAAATATGCTGCGATTTACTTTCACCTCGCTAAATATACTTTCGACACTTTTTTTAAAAGAGTTGATAAAAGTATCATTTTCGCCACACTTTTTAGTGGAAAAAGTCACACTTTCAGAACAGACGTTAGAGAAAACATAATACAAATGTTAGTTTTATTGAGCTGTACACTTTAAGTATCCCTTCTTGTCCCTACTTCCCTTATACAAGCTTCGAAGTGACATACTTTTTTACTTTTTTGATACTTTTTTGGACAAGGCTACTTTTTACTATTAATTTTGGCTAAAAGCTACTAAATGCTACTTTTTAAAAAAAATATAATTTTAAAAAATGACAGAATTCTAGAATTTCAGTTTTTAGCGAATTTTTTTATTCATAAAAGCTCGCCAAGCTGATTATTTATTATTGGTCGCGTGAAATACTGCTTTATATAATTATTTTCTACACGAATTTTCATTTTGCGAAATAGCATTTAACAGAATTTCTTGTTAAACAGAATTTTTATTTCACAAAATTTCTTTTTACCCAACTGTTTTTTAAAAATAATTCTAATTCAATAGAATTATTAATTTAGCAGAATTCTCATTCAATATAGAATTTTAATTAATTCGAATTTTTAAATGTCATAATTTCCAATTCAGTGAATGTTCATTTGTGAGCCAACTTCAAGTTTAAAAAAATTACATGCATTAACCTGGAAATATAAGTAGTAGTACAATTTTTAAATTAAATTATCTCCTTAAGTCGAACGTTCCCCATCGCAAAAATTTCAGTAAGTCTTTATTTAGTTCTAACTTAAATATTCTCTCAAGTTTCGAATTTTTTCGTTTTGCGCCGAAAGACGATTTAGAATCGAAAAAGTCAACAAAGTTCCATTTTTTGTTTCCGGATTTTTAATATTTAGAAATGAAAAAAATAAAAAGTGACAAGAAAATCAAAAAGTTTATAGTAAATACTTTACATTCAGTTAGTTTTTATTTAATTTAATAATTTTTCCTTTTTGTAATTAATTGATAAAAATTTCAAAATTAGGTTATTTGACAGACCAACTTTAAAAACATATTTTATCTGTTTTTTTTAATTTCCCCACTAGTTAAATCATTAAATAATAATAAATTAATTAATTCTAAATAACATTCAATAATTTTTTTAAACACTTTTATGAATTATTCTAGGTTTTTTAATATAATTTCTGATTGCTAAAAAAGGACAGTTTACCGCACCTCCACTTTAAACTCATATTTTGAGAAAAATAATAAAAATTTACATAATTTATTCCTTAATAAGAATATTGCCTCAAGAAATTTTTTCTTACAAATATGAATAACTTGCCAGAAATAACCGAGATATTTGTACTTCAATCTTTAACTTCATTTTTCTCAAAGTGAGGTTTTTGGCATTCTAAACTTTGAAATTCTGCAACTCCACGGTTTTTTCACTTAGAGGGTTCTAAGACCGCTTAAAATTTTCCAAATTTCGCCAAGAATACGACTAAGTTGATAAGTCCAATAGCGCCAAAGTGGTCCCTTTTCATGCGGACGTACACAAATATGTTGTAATTATAGCTACTAAATGATGCTTTAAATTAATGTTATAAAAATTATTTCATTTAATAATGTATGTTTTTCAATTCAAATAAATATATGTGACGCGATCTGAAGAAAGGGACCTTAGAAGCAAAAAATTATAGGTTATGTTTTCAAATTTTTAAATGAAAATGTAAAAAGGGAATCAACTTTCAATACGAACCATTGATGTTTAAGTTTTCATTATATCCAAAATATTTAATAAAAACTGATTTTGAGTTTATAGAAACAATAAGAAAATTTTAATCAAAGTAAAACTGTTTTGAACATAACCTATAATTAGTTTGCTTCTAAGGTCCCTTTCTTCAGATCGCGTCACAATATGTTTGCATAAATGTAATGTTTTTTGAAATGAAGGGTTATTTTCAATCAAATATATGATTATTCAAGAAGAGTAATTCTGTTAATTAAGACTAAATCCTTTTTAATAGCGTCCAATAGTAGTTTCTTCGGTTCAAATAAAAATTTATTTGGATTAAAAAAAATTTACCTAAATAAATCTAAATTTGACTTAAATCAGACTTAACTCACTCGACTTAACTCACATAGACTTTTTATTTCATTTACATTCTTTATAGTTTGATTTAACTCATGTAAAAAATTTAACGTTCCTATACGAAAAAAAATTTAACAAATAATGAAAATTAATATTCTTTCACAATTGATAATAACTTTTAAGGATTCAATACACCTGCGCTGCCGTTCTATTTAAAAACGGCATTATTTACATTTCAACTTAAAAAGAGATATTGAAGGAAACGCGTCTATATGTCTATATCTCTTAACGAAAATAACATTTTGTAATTAAACTTACTGTTCTTAACTAAATCAGACCTGCTCTTTTCATCGGTGCAAAAAATTCATTTTAATTAATTAAATGCAAATCAGTAAACAAAATGTTCTTAACTTTTTCCAATTGGTCAAGTATAAAATTAGCGCAGAAATATTTCTGTCAATTGTTTGTTCGGCCATTTTCAATGTCGATGAAATAAAAATTAGACGTCTTACAAATTCCATGAAATGATAATTCGATCAAGTGGAGTTTCTGAGGAGTAGGAAATTTTTTTCCGTGTAATAAAATGTAAAAACTTTTAATCCATTATATTTTAAAACATACGAGCCAGATACGGTCCACGTCTCAGTTGTCGTCCATTTTTATATAAATTTCACGAAGCTGAAGTTCCCAACGTTTATGATCATCGATTTTCAAACAAATATTTTTTCGAAAGAAAAATTCCATAAATTTTTGTCAAAAGTTATTTCTCGCAAGTTTTATTGATTAAGAAATTATAAAAATAATTTTTTTAGATAAAAAATTTTATAATTTCCCGTCTCAAAAAAGATTTGTTTTCTAGTCGTTCATCATAAACGTTGTGGACTTAAAGTACATATAGAATTGAAAATTCAAATAGACCTCCTGGCGAATTTTAGCTTAATTGCATTCCATTTACTTGAAGACACTGCAAGTTAACTGGAAAATTCGTGCTGATTTTCACCCAGATTTCTACGTACATATCCATACGGAAAGTTCCAAAACTCCACACGGATTTTCGTATGGATTTCTAGATAGATTTTCTCCCTGATTTCCACATACATATCCACGCGAAAAGTTCCAAAAATCCACAAAGATTTTTGAATGGATTTCTAGGTAGATTTTCTCCCGGATTTCCATGTGAATATTGTATTTTCCAAATGTAACCGTACGTTTAGAAAATGCAACAGAACTACATAAATTATTTATTAAACTTTATACACATTTTTTCGATTTAAAGGAAAAATGTTTTCAATTAAAGAAATCTCGGTCGAAAACCGTTCAAATATTTTCCGAATTGCGTTTAAGGGTATCTGGGAAATTCCCACGTGACTCAATACACAAAAACATGGTTTCGACAATTACGTTTTTCTCTTAATTGAGAAAAGATATCGGGCTAAAATTTGGAAGGATGGTAGATGAGACTATGACAAGATGCGCTCTTTTCGAAATTTAGCATAATTTTTATTAAATTATTTGTAAAAAGTAGTTATAAAACTCATGTTTTTAAACGAAAATGACAGGTAACATGGCGGCGTGTACAAAGAAGTCGCGTGAGTGTGTTAGTGACTGGAAAGCAGCGCCAATTCTAGTTAGTGGCTGCTCATTGAACTAGGAGAAAACGCATTAATCCACTATTTATTCATTTATTTTTACCATTTACACGCAAAATTATGCTTTAAATCGAGAACAGCGCGCTCTATTATACCCTTCTCTACCATCCCTCAAAATATTAATCCCAAATCTTTTTTTATTTCAGAAAAATCTGTTTTTCGTAAAAAAGTGCACATCTCTCAGATGGCCTTAATTTGATTCTTCTAATCTTTATTTTATAAAAATTCTTTTCATCTAATGTGTGATTCCACGCAAGATTTTCGTTTTTCGAAGTAACCTCACCAATTTAAATGACACTTGGTACAACTATATTTATTGGTATAAGGATCCAAAAAGACAATTTTTAAAGTAAAAACAATTATTAATTTATAAGATACAATTGCTCTAAATTGTTTAAAAGGACATATCTTCTAAACAATTAAAGATTAACAAGTTTAATTTCTTGTATTCAACTTACAAAAATGAGACGTTTGCAATATTTTGCTAGCAGTTTTGTCACAACTAAACGAAATTCCAGAAGAAAACTGTTACATTGGCAATATTTTCTTTTGTAATCTTAACAAATTCAAAACGTAAAAATGAAAATATTTCTGTCAACTTTAGTTGAGTTAATATCCAATATGGTACAAAAGTTAATATTATTCATCTGAGTCGTGTTTCATTTACAAACTTTTGTACAAACACATGCAAAGTATGTAAAAATTATCCTTAGGGGTCGTCTATAAATTACGTCACACTTAGAGGGGGAGGGGGGGTCAAGCAATTTGTGACAACCAGCAGAAAAAATGACGCTAATGTACGTAAGAAGTGTGACATGGGGGAGGGGGGGGGTCCAAAAAGTTAAAAAAAAGTGTGACGTAATTTATGGACGACCCCTTAGTTGCGACGTGAGTTACCTAAATTTTTTCTTTGCATGGAAGCATACGTGTACACTGACAAATCTATAATGCTTCTTTCTAGGATCCGGTGGAAAACAACCGTAACTTACAAGGAGATTCAGCAGCTGAGGTAAAAATGTGTTCACTTTAGTAAAAATTATGGCGAAAAAGTAAGCTCTAGGGGATTTAAGGGGGCAACCCTAGTTGCAGCACGTAATAATTGGCCATTTTCATGAAGTTATTTTTAGAAAAATCACTAACATTTTTAAATAAAACAATTTATTATCTAAAAGTACACAATTTAAACTATAAATTCTAACAAAAATTTTTTGAAAATATTTAAAAATGGAGGCGTGATGTGCAATCTCGTCGAGATATGCATGAAAATCACGGATTTAGTCTTTAATCAAAAGATTTTAAAAAATTCATTTTTGACACAATGGCAACCACTGAAACTCAACTTTTCGATTTTTAGTAAAAAGCCTACAAATTTTTGTGTAATATCGGTTCAGTAGTTTTTGAAAAATCGTGGTCACCAATTACATTTGCAAAATACTGTTTCAAGAAAAACTAATTTAAAGTTTTAACTTTTTTTTTTACCTATAATAGACAGAATATTTCCGAACGGGCTGATTCGCGTCTCCCTTTGAGCTTGTATACCTCATTCAATTTTAAATAAATATAAACTTAGGATTTTAATAGTCATATTTCTGAGATCCTGAATTTGGAAAAGATGCAAAAAGAAAAAAATCAATTTTTTGAAAAATTACAACTACGGTTGCCCGCTTAAATAAATGTACAGTGAATTAATATGTAAGTTTATGGTTTAATAAAAACGAAATAACTACACGATGCTTTGGAAATCGAGAGATACAAAATGTTTCAAATATGTGATTTCGTTCTAAGGAAAAAGATTAAAGCGTAAGAAGTATAGTTTTAACATTAAATGATAAGTGGTGCGAGATCGTACGTTACATACTCATTTAACTCTCCGTCACACACTTCATGAGGGATTCCCTCAGCGGTTTCAATATTTTATTAATATCTTATTTTCTACAACCTGTAGGACACTGTCCGTCCCTTTTGACAAAACCCTCATCAATACATACGTAAAGAGAAATTTAGTTTAAACTAAAGAAATCTTTAATTACAAATTTTTAAAACCGACCGAACCTTGAAAAAGGTGAGGGATTTTCTCTCGACGTGTGCTCTCGCGTAAGGTAAAAGTACCAGTTGTGGAACTACATTTAGATAGGGTTGGTTATTTTTTAAAAATTTGAATCCACAAAAGCGAAATACAGCTTAAAAATTTTTATGCTTAATTGGCTTATGCTTTCTCATGCTAATTATATTTTTAAAAATGTATTTCGTTTATAATAATTAAATATAAAGGTGAAAAACAAAAAAATTAAAAATGTACGTATTATAGAAAAGCTTCAATACCTCTGTTAAATAATATATTTTGTTTATTACTGTTATACGTTTTTAACACAGCAAAAGTTTTTACTAGTCTAAATTTATTATAAACTATCATAAATTGTTATAAATAAGTTAATAATTGAACATAATTAAAAGAATAGTCCTGTTTCACAATTGTTACATATCTGCCCATAACCCTATTGAAAAAAAACACGTATAATTATACGTATAATAATACGTATAATTATACGTATAATTGTACGTATAATTATATGTATAATAATACGTATAATTATACGTATAATAATACGTTTAATTATACGTATAATTATACGTACAATTATACATATAATTATACGTACAATTATACGTATAATTATACGTATTATTATACGTATAATTATACGTGTTTTTTTCAATAGGGTTATGGAATAATTTTTTTTTACTGTTCCATAATACGGACAAAATACTCATAACCTATATGTACCTAATATGAAACGTACATTTAACTTAAAAAAGTTGTATAATATTAAAAAAATATGTTAAAAAAGTTAGGCGACTATTTTTAATGTCTTGAATATTGAATATTTATCATTTTATTTATTTTTTAATTACACAAAATTATTTGTGTACAAATACGGAATTTGCGTCAAAGTGTTCCACATTAGGGCATTGTTCCACAACTGGGGCTTTTACCTTACATCAGTGAATTTTCCATGTAATTGGAAACGGAAGTGATTAAAAATTTATTAAAACTTCTCAATATTTTAATTGAAATGTAAATATGCATTTCAAATAATTTAAAATACATTTATAAACCTGCACCATAACCTAAAATTTAGTTGATTGAGTCAAGCATTGGCAGCGTCGCATTTTTTTTACATGGGGGAGGGTTTCCCTCGCATTACACGCGAGTGCAATGGTGTAATTTTTTGTAAGGTGTGTGACGGAGGGTTAAATATCTGAATTTTATATTCTTTTTTGAAAGTTAGCAAAAATATAAAATATTCAAATATTAAATTTAAAAATACAAAGTAATGCTTATTTAGGTATACATTTAAGATTTCTCAGTTTCTACTTTTTAATGAAAATAATGATTCAGTTAATTTCTTTGCTAAAAGCATATCATTCACTTGCAGATTAATTTGAACAATGATAATAATGCTGATAATAATCTCAATGTAAGTGGAGGCGCGGATGATACAGATGATGAAGATTCTGAGGAAGAAGCAGATGACAATAGTATGAATGATTTTCCCATTGGAGAACAAGAAGATCAATTGTTGCTTGGTGTTGTTCGTGAAACGATTGACGAAGCTACTTCAATCAGTGCTTTGGAGAAGATATTACAGTCAGAAGCAATACTAAATGTTATTGAAACCCCAATTGCTGTCAGTCAAGGCGAAATTTTATGTATGTTTTTAAAGTATGCTATTTTTCATTCTTTAAGTCACACGGCTGTAACCGATTTATTTAAAGGTATAAATTGCATGTTTGCAGCAGCCATTCTTCCAGATACTCGTTATCTAATTGATAAATTGTTTTTTTCCACGAAATTTGTTCGTTATCACGCTATATGCTCATACTGCGGAATGTATGGGGGTACTTTTGATCGTTCAGATAGTCAAAGGACTTGTACTGCTTGTGAAAAAGTCATAATGTTTAAAGACAAGAGTTTCACAACTTTTTACGCCACTTTTAATATCAAAGACAACATAAAGCAGTTGTTAGAAGGAAATGAAGATTACTACAATCACATTATGGAAGAAAGAGTTTCCCAGCCTGGGATTTTTCAGGATATATATGATGGAAAAGAATACCAAGAATTCGTTAAAAACTTAGATTGTGAAGACAGAAAGAGTTACGCGACTTTGACCTTTAATAGTGATGGAGCACCTAAGTTCAAAAGTGATAATTTTAATATGTATCCGGTTCAAGCAATATTAAATGAAACACCTATGAATGTTCGCGTATCTCAGCCAATTGTTTGTGCAATGTGGTTTGGTAGAAGCAAACCAGATATGAACGTTTTTTTAAAAGGATTCGTTGATCATATGAATGAAATTTCTAAATCGGGAGTGCCATGCAACATAAAGGGGAAAAACCTATTAGTTAAACCTTATGCAATCTGTTGCTGTGTAGATTCCATAGCACGTGCTCCTATGCAAGGTGTCAAGCAGTGTAACGGACATTATGGTTGCAACTGGTGCCTTCATGAAGGAGAGTGGGTACCAAATGCACAGAAGACAGGTGGCTGTGTCAAATTTCCAATTACCGATCCTCTGCCTAAAAATCGCACCGAAGAACATTTTTTACAATGTATGGACTATGTCTTCAATTCACCAATTGACAATAATCAGTCAAATAATGAAGTTGATGATGCTTTGATTAATGAACCTGATAATCCTTCGAGCAACGAACATGATTCTCCTAATAATGAACCTGAAGATCCAGCACATTCAATTTCAAATTCTGTCGATTCTGAAGCAGAAGAAGAGATGCATTCATTTGGAGTGTTACATATGTCACCTTTAAATAACTTGGAAAAGTTTAAAATGATATCTGGGTTTACTCCGGATGACATGCATTTAGCTCGATTGGGTATAGGGGAACAGTTTTTAAATTATTGGAGTCATAAAAGGAGTTCGCCGTTAAAAACTGTTTTCACTTCTGAAAATATTACTGAAATAAATAAAATTTTAGAAGCCATTCAGGTTCCAAACCAAGCTATGCGTTTAACACGTACACTAAGTGACAGAAGTAACTGGAAGGCCAAAGAATGGGAAAACTGGATATTATATTACAGTTTACCAATTATTAGCTTATTCTTAGATGAAAAGGTAGTTGAACATTGGGCTCTTTTTGTAGAAGCATTTTACATATCCCTGAAAACTTCAATAACAGTTGATGAATTGAAGCGTATCGAATATTTAGTGAAAAAGTTTATGTTAGATACCGAAAAATATTATACAAAAAGTGCTATGACTTACAATGTTCATCAGCTTTTACATTGGGTACAATCTCTATCAGACTGGGGTCCATCGTGGTCACACACAGCTTTTGCGTTTGAATCTTATCACAGAACATTACTGCAAATGATTAAAAGTGCTAAGGGAGTAACACATCAAATTTGTCGACAACTTTCTAACCGCCAAAGTGATCTGATTTTAACAAATCATATTCTCCCCGGTAGTTCTTTACAAGTTAAAAATTACTGTTCACATTTCAGAGAAAAGCAAACTCAGAATACTTGTAAAATTGGTCCAATAAGATACTTTGGAGTTCCTAGGAGAGTCGAACAAAGCTGGAAACAAGAACTACAATTGTCAAACGAAGCGGTTTCGTACAAGAAAATGGTTAAAGATAAGTGTGTTTATTCTACTAAAGTTGATAAAAAATCCCGCTCGAATAACACGTTTGCTCTTCTTAAAAACGGCTCTTTTGTACAAATAAAAAATTTTATAGTCGATCAATTAACGGATGAGCAGTACACAATTTGCAACTTACTTAGAACGGAAAACGCTTACCTAAACAGTTGTACATTTATGAAAAAAGTTGAAACATCTGATTATAATCCTTGTTCCATCAATACGGATGAAATTGAAAAAATTTGCATATTTTTTACAATACGAGATTCTGACTATATATGTCCACTTCCAAATATGTTTTATTTTTAAAGTAATTCGTGGTTACTTTATTTCTTCATGTTATCGTTTTAACAAATAAATCTCTTGCGCGGAGAAAAATGAGAAGTAATAACAAAAGAATATTTAAAAATTAACAATAAAAACACAAAACAAAATTTTAATGATACGGCAATTGTAGAAAATGTTTCTAAAAAGTGTATAACTAGAAATTCGAAAATTGCTTGCAATTAATTTCTATTATAATTTTTTACGCGTTAAAAATGGTTCAAAACAATTTTTAGTTTTGAGGTTGTGTTATGTGTACAGTCTGCTTAAATTCTTCATGTAAAAATTATTTAAGAGAAATTTGCAGTATCAAATTAAATTTAGAGAAATTTATGTTTTTAATGTAAATTTAAAGTTCAAATCGTAATTCCTTTTAAAAAGATTTAATTGAAAATAAAATATTAAATAAATTATTTTATTTGCATTTGTCACAAACTCAACTGTTAACTTTGAATTGCGTTTGATAATATTTGTGTCTTTAACTTATATTACAAAATTCTTGTTAAAAATTTTTGTTCTTGTCCTTTTAAATTTTCGCACGCTTCAACATACATGCTACTTTAATGTAGCGTTGTCATATCTAATGAGATTTTGTGAACAATTTCGAATTTATTTAACTTTTATTAAAAATTAAGTTTATAAAATTAAATAAGACTTTGAGAATAAGTTCCTGAAATATGTTAGTATAATATACTTGAAAATTATTCATTTCTGCTCATTAATAATGTGAAAAAAAGAAAAATATTAGCGATCATATACGAAATTTGTCAGAATATAGCTGATTTCTACATGAGTACGTGTTAACTTCAAAAATGTTTTTAAATAAAAAAGGCTTATGGGTGATTGTCAAAATAAAGGAAAACTTGTAGCTGAAAAAAGGCAATTATGGTACTAGAAAAAATGTGACAGATATTGATAAAAATCTATTTTATCACTTCTTAAATGATTAAATTTTGAAGGGGCAGTTTTAAAAATAAGAATTAGCTGCAATATTTGCAATTGAAATAAGGAATAGAATTTTAGGTTATATCATATATCGCATATATCATGAAGTAGTATAAGGAGCACTCACTGCTTGTTAAGCATATAGGCCCTCTGCATGAGAATTAAATCCGAAATTACATATCTCCGATTATGACGCCTCTAGCGGAAAAACGGTGTACTTAGAAGTTTTCAAAATATGGCTGCTCCTAGTGACAGCTGTTCTCATATAGTAAACAGTGTAAAATGATATATAATAATTTTAGAAAAAGTGTAAAGAAATAAAGAGTTACATACAAAAGTTTAATATTTGCCATGTGCAACGCTTGTTAAAAATACAGACATTGTTTAGAAGTTGAACCTAGTAAAATCAACAAGAAAGTCATGTTGTCCATATAAGTACAAGCCCATCTTGTAAAATTTAAAAGGATTCTAGTTAATTATACTTTTAAAACATTTCTCCGCCTATCCTGTATTAAAAATAACTACTTTACAAGGTCAAAAAGTTGAAAAAAGAGTCCTGCATTTTTTGTTTAGATTATTGTTTCCAGAAATTATACATTTATGTGGACAGGCGTATTCGCTAAAATTATTTAAAATTGACTTCTTTATGCGGAAGTTAAAATTACAGTTTTTTGAACTATATTCTACTAGTAATGCGGAAATTCACAAGATTTTATGTTGAAGTGTCCTGGTATGCTATTACTTTAAGGGTACGGCCATACCTCGACAGACAGTCAGGCTGGTTGTCTGTTTACCATTGGAGTAACAGAGATGTATGTATGTTTGTCTCTCTCACTCTAATGGTGAACAGACAACCAGCCTCATTCTCTGTCGAAATGTGGCGGTACCCTAAGCGTTGAAATGAATGTTGATTTATTTAAATGTAGAATATTACTTCATTATACATCCTAATAATCTTCAATAAATTTTAGAGTTAGCGATAAATATCGAAAGTGCGCTACTGACCATGTATCTACTTACGAAGCCACTAAGATATAAAATTGAGAATTTATTACTTACTGAAAATAGAAAATTTTGAAAAACGTGAAATTAGAAATAAATTAATCTCGGAGAGGTCTTTATACTGTCTTCATACTGAGCACAAAAGATTTTCTAAATGAACACTGCAGCGCAACTCGACAGCGGAATTTAACAATATTATTAGGAACAAATGTAATTAAAATAATTTTCTTTGATTTATTCACAAAATGTAATTCTATAATTATTGTAATATAATATTGTAGTTTTCACCGTATATTTCTAAAAAATACATTGGCTTTTAAGCGAATATTTCATACTTTCATCAAACTTTCCTGAGTCTCTCAATGAAATATTTCCAAAATATTAATACTAACTATAAAAAATTTTTAGAAAATATCTGGTTCTATGTGGTCCAAATGGAATTCCATCCAATTTTACACTCTTGTGCATCAAGAGTCGAAAAAGCAGTTGAATTTATGTAAATTTTACATAGAATTCTGTATGTATGATTTCAGTCAATCCACGTGGAAAACCATGTGAACTTCAACGTGGAAATCCACGTAGAAATACTTGTGAATTTCCTCGTGGAAATTCACATAGAAATTTCTATATATCTTGCACTTGCTTCATTAAATCTAACAATATTTTTACGTATGTTTCATTTATTTCATTTTGTTTTTTAAAACAGCTTTTTGACCATATCTTTAAAAAATGTTCGGACAACTATAATTGTTTGAGTGAACCATGGATAAAATTTTTTCTGGTAACTATGCGTTGTTATTGATGTTTCAAAAATCTAAAAATGTTAAAAGTAAGCTTTTTTGATCAGTTTTAATTAAAATATTTTATATAAGTTGTGACAAAGTTTTAGACGAAACTTTTAAGACCTAATGTTTCGGTTTTTCGGATTAATTTTTTAAATAAAAATATTACGAAAAATATAACTTTTTTGGTCAGTTTAAGGAGTCACGACCGCTACAGGCCGATTAGGAAGTTAGTGACATTAGGGAATATTTAAAAATTAAAAAGTAATTTTATTTTCAATTAATTTTTTGAATATCAACAAAAACTGTTTGAAATATCACAAAAATTAATTAATTATATATTAATTATATATTTATGTCACAAACTTTTGTCTGTTAGTATATATCAACCTAAAAAAGTAAAATATGTACATCTAAAAGAACTTTTTATCAAGTTCAACATAGCTGAATATCATTTAAATAAGCATAAAATAATTATAGTTATAATTTTTTATACCTCTTAGAGGTCTTTACAATTTCCTCTCAACTTATCGAAACTTTACAACTCACTACATTTTATAATTCCCTCCTTTGCGTTCCGTAGCCGACTTTTATTCGAAGTACTCGCATTCGCCTGACCCTTTCTGATCAGAGTAGCTAAAAAAATTGCGGAAAAATTCTACTGAGTACAGCCGATTTATGTCCGAGTCTTGGATGTATAAATTCGAAGCAAGAAGCCTCGAATATTACACAACCAAGTCCTCGACGTCAAATCTCTCGCTCACAATAACTCACTTGCCGGAAAAAATCCCAGGCTAACGGGCGGGGAGCGAACCCAGGCTCGCCCCGACCGCAAAGCCAGAGGATTTAACCATCTGAGCTATTTTGTCGGTTTTGCATATAACAATTGTATTATTCAAATAAATATGCGTACAATATTCGAAACATAGAAATAATTTTTTTAACTGGCATAAATAAAGTTCTCAAGAATGTTATTACGTAGGGCCCATTTTTTAGTTTCAATTTTATATAGAATTTTATATTTGTGCTGCATGTACCCTTATATCACCTAAAATTGCAGTAATGTTGCCCTTATTTTCAGCAGTATAGCTAATAAGAAGTTAAAAAAATCAATATGAATATTTTACTTGAAAATCCATCTGGAGATTTAAATCAATCCACGTGGAAATCCAGGTAAAAATTTTACAACTTTAATTTTAGAATATATTATAAAGCGGAAATATAAGTTGTAATTGGTACCCTTGTAGACTCACCATTTCTCATTATTTTAGAAAGAGTGTCTTAATAGACTTTTTGACGCAAATTTAATTTAATTAACTTGATAAAAATAATAAATAATAGTAAGTAATAAGGTAATAACAAATAATTCTACACAGCATCTTCTGTAGGCGTAACCTATAGGGTACCTACTCCATTGCTGATAGAATTATTATAGTGCTTCATATTGCTAAAATTTTCTGCAAAAGAGATGCAGGAGAAAACATTTTTTTAACCGACAAAAAATTTTTTAATATTAAGCTGTTCATGTTTTACAGATATGATTTATTTTCAGTATTTTATTAATTCGTCATGACCTACCTGGTTTACATTTATGGTAAGTATCAATATATCATTATAATTTTATCAATTATCACCTGGAAATCACTGAAATATCATGGAATTTTGTAAGAAAAAATTGGAAGAAATCCTGAAATGGGATCTTGCAAAAATAGCATTTGTTGCATTTCTGTTTTTCGATTGAAAAAAATTGCATTTGGAATGCTTTTCAAATTCCATATGGATTTTCGGAATTATTTGGAAATCCACATGGAAATCCAGTTTCATAAAGCCATCTGAAAATTTATTAATATCCATGTGGTTTTTTAGGTGGATTTCCAAGTGGAAATCCACTTGGTTATTTTCAGCAGGGCACCTCCGACTATTCTAATTTTCCGGAATGCTTTTATCAGATTTGGGAACATTTTTCCTCCAATCCACGTATGGAGTGAAAACGCTCCTTATTCTTACTTCGCTTCGTGAGGAAAAGTTAAAATCCGAGCAGTTTTGGCCAAAACCTGTTAAGTTCATCTAACTGACTTACAATTAGTCAAAAACCATAAAATTTGGAAATTTTAAATTAAATTTAAAAAATTTTCATCAAAATCAATATTTTGAAAACAATGCTTTGTGCCAACATCTGCAAGAAAAATGCTATTTTATATGCTGTTTTAAAGAATAAATTGAAGGTTATGTTGTACTTTGTGCTGCATTTACGTTTAAGTAAAATAGCGCTTTACTTGTAGGTGTTGCATAAAATTATTTTCCATTCCCACATCTTTACAAAAAAAAAATTTTAATTTTTCAGAATCAAGAATTCTCAAATATACTATTAAACAACTTCAGCATAAAATCCTCCATTAGTGAACTTTTTAAATATTTTGACTACTTGGAAATAATAAATGAATTTATAGAGCCGAAAATCAAAAGACTATGTATCGTTATAGCAGAAGATATAAAAGATAGTATAAAATTAGCTGAATTATTGAGCAACAAAAATAGACTGTTGCCTGAAAAAAAGCAAAACTTTTCCAAAACTAAAAATTTAATATACAATGAAATTGTGCAAAATTATTATCTATATTACCATAAAGAATTATCAGCACACATAATTGTTTATCTTACAGAAATGCAAAATAAAATATTAGCAACATATTTGATAAAGAGAACCATAGACTCGTCAGAAGAATTAAAAGTTGTACTGACATGTTCAAAAGAATTTAACGATGACAATCTTAATTCCATGTTTCTGATGTCATCAAACATTTTGGATTTAAATAGAAAACAAAATCTTAAGTTTAAAATTATTTTTTTGCCATTAGATGTTAAAAATCAAAGTAAATTTATAACCGCAAAAAACAAATTAGAAAACTATTTTTACAAAAAATTCGAAAGATTTGGAAATTCTTTAAATGTAAAAGATTTACTTTTTTCTGCTTTTTATGATTATGAAAATTTAACTAAAAAAGAGAAATTAGAATATATTGTAATAGGATCTCTTCTTTATCACAAAGCAACTCGCATCGCTCACATAATGATTAATTTACATGAAAATCCACAAAGAATTCTTATGTCGACTTATGAAGAAGACTATTTAATTATATACAATTATATACAAACGAGCAGTAATTTTATCAAAATTCGTACATTCGCATTTTCGTATGATGAGGAAATTTTGGATTTATTAAAAAACCGCTATCCCTATATGGAGCCTTCATCAGTTGATGTGTCCTCCCTAAAAGGTATACTAACTTTCTCAGATTGGGTGACGAAAAACAGCAACATACCAAAAGATAAATCTCATGACAATGAAGTTGAGAAATTTATCGACAATATTTGTAATCGTACGGAACAAATTGAAGTCGTTAAGCATGTTTGTTTTATGAAATATATGAATTACGATAAACCTGAAAAGCTATTAAATTATATGCAGAATTTTACTATTGATTATTATTTGCGAGAGGAAAAAGAGTTTTTTTCCATATTATCATCAATGTATAAAACTGAAAATAGCAAGGAAACTGGAATATATCAAATACAGGATATGTACGAGAAGATAGAGAAAATTGATGGACAAAAGAAGGATCTAATGTTGGAGGCATTTTTCGCTGTTAGCAATTTTCTGAATCCGGAAGCAGAACATTTGTGTTCACAAATAGGCAACGGAACCTACAAATTGCAAATTAGAGGAAAATTTTTAATCTTTGGTCAGATTCTACGCAAGAAGTATTGTTCCGGAAATGTGACAATTTTAGAACTTTTAGCTCTTGATAAAATTGTCATTAATGAAGATTTGGTCAGTGATGAAGTACAACTAGTCGTTATAATAGCACCAATTTGGGAAATTGTTTGGAACAGAGTTATACGTCTAACTGGTGCTCCTGGAGATAACAATTGGGTAAGTTGATAAAAACCTATTTTGAAAATAATATTGATCTTCATAATATGACAATAAAATCATAAGTACGTACCATTGAAAAAAGAATTCAATTTAAAAATTTTTTCAGAGGCCCTATAAATATGAACCTGATTATAGTAAAGATCCTGTGCGATTAGATGGTTTAGACGGAGTTCGCGGAGGACCTGGAGGATCATTTTTCGGAATCGCTAATACTATCATTAAGGATAAAAATTTGTACATTTCAACTATAGGTGGTAGAGGGGGTGATGGACAAGATGGTGCAAATGGAATAATTTACGATAATGATCCTGGATTGTTCAAACAAATACATTCATCAGGTATTAAAGGCAACGCAGGAAAAGGTGGAATTCCAGGCTTAGTTCAGTTTTTCCCTTTAAATGACATTAATTTCAATATAAATATATCGCAAACAAACGGTGGTGATGGTACACCTGGAGAAGATGGGATAATGAATAAAGTAACACCTTTCTTCTTACATTTTCTTTTACACAGAGAGAGAATGAAAATCAATCTCGACAGCTATTTAATTAATGAACCAAAAGGAATAAATAATTTTACTTCAACTTTATCGATTTACAGAAAATA